CTGTCCTTCAGCCCATCTGCCTTTCTGTCCATCTGTCTTTCTGTCCATCTGTCTTTCTGTCCATCTGTCCTTCTGCCTTTCTGTCCATCTGTCTTTCTGTTCATCTGTCCTTCTATCCAGCTGTCTTTCTGTCCATCTGTCCTTTTGTGGACACTGGTTTTGTCTGAGCTCTAAAATGAAAAGTTTTTACACAAAAGTTCAAACTGCACAGCTCGACACCTCACGGGCCAAAAGTGATCCCAACTGATTTCAAGGTCATGGGGTCAAAGTTCAAGGTCACCCTTTATTCAAACCTTGTCCCGCTTGACGTCAGAGTAACACAAACATGTCAAACCTTTGTGTCCCCGTCTGTCCGTCCATCAGACAGTCCAGAGTAAGATGTTCATGGTGTAACTCCACAGGTGAGTTTTTTACCTGGTAGCTGCAGGTTCATGTTCTTTAATTTACCTGTTTGTCCATTTACACCACGAACGTCTTCATGTGTCAACATGAACTTTGACCCCACCGCCATCATGTAGAGACTTAACATACTTGTTCATTGTTGCGATCCGTTCTTGCTAATTTTAGCTTTGGTTCGATTGTTTTAAGTTTAACCTCAGGTTTAACTTCTACTAACTCCAGCCGAGTCTTGTCACACTTTTTGTTTTTAAAGGACGTGAAGGTTTTTGTCACTTTATTGTTTATTTATAAACTCTGCAGGCATTGAAACAGGGTTTTCTGTGTTTGTCTGCAGATCAGATCGCTCTGCCTGATTTTAACGCCGGAGCCATGGAGAACTGGGGTCTGATCACCTACAGAGAGACGGCGCTGCTCTACGACCCGGTCTTCTCCTCCAACTCCAACAAGGAGAGGATCGCCACCATCATCGCCCACGAGCTCGCTCACATGGTGAGTTCTGGTCCAGGCGGGCTGGGTCAGGGTTTCTGATGTTCACTCAATGTTTCAGATCAAATTGAACAGGAAGTCAATTTACAGAGTTTACTGCTCAACTTTTAAAACCCAGCAATCTCGTTTTTATTATAACTGAAAGAACCAGAACATTTCTGATGAAGGTTCAAAGGGTGCCGCTGCAACCTGAAAGTCCATCAGTTAAAGCTGGCACGATCTGTGATTTAAGTGTTGAACCCACGCACAGGCAGACCACTGGAGGCTGCAAGGTAAAAAATATAGAGTGTAATTATGTAAACAAAACAACAAAACAAAAGCTGACGGGGCAGCAAAAATGAAAAGATGGCGGAACAGACACGACAGGCTTGGAAGCACAATCCACGGACAAAGGAGGAACACGGAGACGCTGAATTTATAGGGAGGCTGACAAGACAAAATGTCGAACACCTGGGCTGAGTAGGACTAGAAACAAGTGAGACAGGAGCCGAACAACAAGAAGGAAACACACTTGGGAGTGCAGGAAACACAAGGATTAAAAGAGGACAAGATACAGATTAACAACAATCTAATCGGACAAAATGACCGATATATGAACGCAGAAGAAGAAAAAGAGAAACCAAGATAAAATGAATATATTAGCTGCTGTAAGTAGTTCATTATGGTCACCATAGTAACAATGCTTCCTGACAGCACCTTAAGACAGGCAGACTAGCACGCGGAGCAGGAAGTAAGCCTCAGACAAACAGTTGCTGCGTGAAAACTGTTAGATGTATCTGAAAAGTTCTTGACCCGTGAGCAGTAGAAGGTTTTCATGTTTCTATAATGATTTGTGGGGGAGACACGACAAGTTAGAAACAGCCCCCACTTCCTGTCTCCAAGGGAATGTTAAGACTTCAGATACAATAGAAGTCAAATAGATTTTGGGTGTGTGAACTCTGACCTCTGCGAGGATTAAAGAGAAAAGAAGACAGAAACAACAATTTGAAATGTAGTTTGTGTAGAAATCAGTTGAAGGACTAAAGAGAGTTTGTTTGCTGAAGATTTGAAACGTCGAAACAGTTCACGTGCGTGTGACATCATCAGACTCCGAGCTGAACATCCTCCTCCACACTCAGCTGTGTTTGTGTAAAAAGTGCTAACGATGTGAAAACAGCAGTTCCGTCATGGAAAGTCCAACTTTCCGTGACCCGTTTGGAGATCCAAACAGGACTAGGTTTAACGTTCACTGAAATTAACCAGGGACGAATACAGAGAAATATCTGCAGCAGCTGCAGCTTTGAGAGAAAACAAACTACGTAAAAAAAAAATGCAGCATTTTAGTGCTGTGGGTTATTCAGAGTTCACACACAAACTCAGTGTATTAAGTGGAAAAAGTATAAAAATATAAACCTATATCTGACAATGTTTGTGTAAAATGTAAACAAAAACAAAATGTCTGCATGAACCCATATTTTAATCACCTTGGAACAAAGTAAACACATCAAAAGGTTTAAACTAAGAATTTGGACTATTTTCTTGTTTTTTTTACTTTTTTTTTTTCATTTTTCAAACATATTTGGGTATTTAACAGAAAATTAAAGCTAAAACAAACAAACAAATAAGCAGAAAAGAATAAACAAAACATAGAAACAAGCATACATGAGGGAGTTTCACATGTGCATATCACTTATTACAAACATCATCATCTATCACAGAGTGTCAAAAATCCTCCCATTTTCCCAGTAGTTTCCTCTGTGCTGGTGTAGACGGAGAGAAAAAGTTCAGTTGATCTTATATGTTCCATAGTTTGTATCACTAGAGCTGTTGTGGGAGTTTCTCTTCTGAGCCAGCACTTTGTGATGACTTTCTTCATAGCAACAAGGATAATCCTGAATATATACAAGTCACAAGTACACTAAGAAGTAATTTGATATAAGATTTATAGTTTTTATTTGACTTAAAAGTTAAAAGTCCACAGTAAGATGGTGGATGGAAGATTAAAAGTTACCTCAAATGGTTGTGGTGACCAACTATGAGGGTTAAGGCCACCCTTGGCCACCCCCTGGCTCCTCCATTGCACCTGGTGGTGGATAAAACGTCTCCTCCTCTCATCCGTCACTCTGGGTCAAAAAAGAAAACCAACAACCCCCTCCGTTCTTCTCCACAGTGCAACTCTTCCACTTGAGCATCTTGTATGGTTTATTTTCAGTTCCAGTCCAGAAAAAACGCTCACGTCCAAAACGACAAACATTTACTGTTCAAACCCCTCAGTGACGGGGACATCTGCGTGCCACCTGTAGCTCCTGATTTTGGACTCGTTTTCTTTCTCTCATTTCCTGATTTTAATGATAAAACTTGAATAATTAGTAGCGTGTGTAAAATGTTTGAAGTTGTTTTCAGGATTTAACCTCTCAGTCATTAAAGTGAGACACAGTCTGGTGTTCTTGTTCTCTTCTTGACGTCTGGTCTCTGCTTCCCCTCAGTGGTTCGGTAACTTCGTGACACTGCGGTGGTGGAACGATCTGTGGCTGAACGAGGGCTTCGCATCCTACGTGGAGTACCTGGGAGCGGACAAGGCCGAGCCTGACTGGAACGTGGTGAGGGCTTGACCTCCTCTTCTTCATCAGGATGCTGATGGCGTTCTTCTCACGGAGACGTTTTCTGTTTCCTGACAGAAAGACCTGATCGTGCTCGGTGACGTCCACAGAGTGTTCGCCGTGGACGCCCTGACCTCCTCTCATCCCCTGTCCTCCAAAGAAGAGGACATCCAGAAACCGGCTCAGATCAGCGAGCTCTTCGATGCCATCTCATACAGCAAGGTGAGCGAACGCACGCACAAAGAGTTACACTGGGCAGCTGTCTCAAGCAGTCACTGTGTGTGTGTGTGTGGGGGGGGGGGGGGGGGACAAGTGGACAGGTGTCCAGTCCATCACAGAGACACAGGGACAGTTTATAGTTACCAATTAGCCTCACTGGAGGTTTTAGTTCTGTGAAAGAAAACCTACGGGAAGAACGTGTAAATCTACACAGAAAGGCTGGGAGTCAAACCTGCGACCTCCTCACTGAGAGGAGACAGCTCCAACCACTGCTCCACTATGCCACCCTTCTTGTGATCACTTCAACACTTTATAAACTCGCTTTTATTCCTTTAATTTTTCTTTGAGCAGTAAAGACCCTTAAGTTTTAAAACGTTAAGATCAAATGGACAAACAATGAAGACTTTTTTTTTTTACTTCTGACACAAAAATAAAAATGTTCAGTTCTTAAAAATTTACAAACATCAATTTATATCAACAACAACGTTGCTGTTCTTGTTCGGCATATTGTTTTTGTACTATTAGTGCTTAGTGTATTCTATGCATATAAATATATATATATATATATATATATATATATATATATATATATATATAAAATTGCTTAGTGTATTTTTAGTTATTGTTCTTCTTAGTTCATTTCTTAGATCTTATTACTGTTTTTCTTTTACAATTTATAATTTTGTTGGATGTAACTTGGACCCTGTGTACACAATTCCACTCCACCACATGTACCACATATGATGAGAATGGCAATAAAGAAACCTTGACCTTGACCTTGAACGTTTGAAAACAGGAGGACTTCCCAAAGCTCATCGTACTTAAATGAACTTATGAGAGGCGAGAGACCATCGGCAGCTCAGAGCAGCAGAAAAACATGTTTACACGTCAGAAAAAACAGAAACAAGTCGTTAAAATACAAACAATAAAATCTAAAAGGAGTCAGATTATATTTTAGGCCTTTAGATTGACAGAAACACTTCCATCCACGTGTTTGTGAGGTTAATCCTCTTCTTTGTACATATATGGACTTCCTGAAGCAGCAAGTGCAGCAGAGACAGCTGATTGGTTGGTTGGTCTACATGAGTATAAATGTTTTTATTTTTGTCTCCCTCAGGGAGCGTCTGTCCTCAGGATGCTGTCAGACTTCCTGACTGAAGCGGTTTTCACCAAAGGCCTTCAGGTAACGACAGTTTCCATCAAAAAGCTTCATTTAACGATCAAAGAATATTTGTCGTAGTTTTAAGGTTTTGAAAGTCACAAAATTAGAATATTTTTGTTAAACGTCTTCCAAACATCTGAAACACTGCAGCTTACTGTATAGTGCTGAAGTTCAAACATTAAAAAAACGTTACCTGTCAATGTTCAGATAATAAATAAGTGTTTCTTGAAGGAATGCATGTCGCCCGCCAGCCAGCACGTCAAAGATTTAAACAAAGATCTTATTTTAGCTCTAAATCTGTAAAACTGACTGACTTTCTGTTTGCTCATGCTGAAAACAAGAACAAAGCCCAAAAACGTGCAGTGACTCCTCCCCTCTGATTTACCTGCTTCCTGTCTCACCTGTCCGTCTGCAGACCTACCTGAAGGAGTTTGCTTTTGGGACCGCCGTCTACACGGACCTGTGGAAACACCTGCAGATGGTACCGTCACCTCTCTGTCCGAAAAACTGATTTCATGTCTTTAAAGCCGAATGTTACGGAAACGCTGAGTCAGCATTTCAAAAACAATTGGCTCATTCAGGGGATGGGATCTGGGACTTTTGTTTATTTATCTTTCAAACTTTTTCATGATGTTGAACTTTATTTCACAATTAATTTCCTTATAGAACTTAAGAATTAGAGACATTGCATTTCCTGTGAAAATGCAGTGCTAATGCTTATTGCTGAAGAACTTGCTGAAAAACAGCTGAAAATAGCTAAAAGACATGCTGAATTTTAGTTGAAAAGGAAGAACAAGCCTAAATCAGCAGAAGAAAGAAGAAGGAACACATATTTGCTGAATTGGGTTTAAATAAGCAGAAATTAGCACAAAAATTATGAAATTAACTAAAGAAGAGCTGAAATTAGCAAAAAGTAGTTAGTTAGTTAGTTAGAAAGAAGCTTAAACTACCAGAAGAAAGTGGAAAGAGCTGAAATGCGTAAAAAATGTGGAATTAGTTGAAAAAGCTAAAATTAGTATAAAACAGCGAAATGGTAGCTGAAATTGCAGGAAAAGGCTGAAAGGTGCATAACATGATGAAATTAGCAGAAAGAAGTTAATTGGGCTTGAAGTAGCTAAAATTACCATGAAAAACTGGAATTTATCTGAAAACAGCTTAAATAGCTTAAAAAATCTAAAAAGCTAGGTGAAAAATTAGAACAAGCTTAAATTAGCAGAAGAAAGCAGAAAGAGCACATGATTGCCCAATTAGGCTGAAAGAAGCAGAAATGTGAACAAAAAAATTGGAATTTATCTGAAAAAAAGCTTAAATTAGAATATAAACAGCTGAAAGAAGCTAAAAACACAGAAAGAAGCTTAAATTATGAGAAGGAAAGGATGTTTTTGCTGAATTGGGCTGATAAAAGTTTAAATGAATGCAAAAAAATGTGGAATTAGCTGGAAATGCTAAAATTAGCATAAAAGCAGCTAGGTAGCTGAAAAGCAGAAAAAGCTGAAACTTGCAGAAATAAGCTGAGAGGAGCATAATACGCTGAAATTAGCAGAAAAAATTAGAACAAGCACGGAAATGTTGTAGTTGGCAAAATCTAAAAGGATCACAAAACAGCTGAAACAGCTGAAATTAGCTGAAAAAAAAAAGTGTAAATTTGCACAAGAAAGCTGAAAGAAGCTGAACCAGAACAAAATGTGAAAGGAGCAGTAAAAGTTTGTAAACAGATGTAAAGATTTGAAGGATGTAAAATGAGCTCAATTCATTTTCTATGAGAAAAATAGCGGCAGAAAAAGCTAAATATTTCTAAAAAGCTAAAGTCGCACCAATACCAAAAGTCATAGCCTTCTCCTGAACGAGCTGAACGTTTTGATTTATGATTTGTTGAAATAGCACAAAAAATTTTGGAACGAGAAAGATGCTGAAAAATGTACGGAAGAAAAATGGATCACAATGTGAAGGCTTCATAAGACTTTGTTTTCTAAATATCCTGATTCATGCTCCATAATCTAGGTAGAAACATCTGACAAAGTTAAGTCAGGTCCTCTGTTTCCTGTTGTTGAAACATTTCATCTTTCATCCAAAAGACTTCATCAGTCCAAGGAGTCGCAACAAGCTCAGTCTTGTAAATAGGTCCTTCTCATAGTGGGTCAACCAGTTTGATGGTGCTCAGCAACAAAGAGAAACCGTCCAGAGGACCTGACTTTACTTTGTTAGATTTAAGATAAGGATTATTCCATTTTTCAGTAAACAAGGGTTTTATTGAAAAGAACTGTCAGAATGAAAAAGATAGTCCAATTCTTTTGTGTTTAGTTGCCAGATCTTTGTCCACACTGATGTGTTTCTTGGAGAGCTTTTTAAACTTGCACCAGTAAGTGTTTCAGCAGAGCTGACCAACTACTCCAAACAAACAAAGAAGCTGAGCCCCTTGGACTTTAAATTAAATTTAAAAGGGGCGAGTCAGTCCGTTGTAGTTTGGAGTGAACGTTAAGCTGAATGTTTTTACGGTTCTGCAGGCTGTGGACAACAGCGGAACCGAGCTTCCTAACTCCGTCAACAACATCATGAACACCTGGGTTCTGCAGATGGGATTTCCTGTCGTCACCATCAACACCAACACCGGCGCCGTTTCCCAGCAGCACTTCCTGTTGGACCCGAACGCTAGAGTCACCAGGGAGTCAGAGTTCAAGTAAAGAAACAGCTTCACTTCATCCAACCATCTGTTCGTCCATCCGTCCATCCAACCATCTGTTCATCCATCCATCCAACCTTCTGTTTGCCCATCCAACCATCTGTTCATCCATCCATTCATCCAACCATCTGTTTTTCCATCCATCCAACCATCTGTTCATCTGTCTACCATCCAGCCATATGTCCATCTGTCCATCCATCATCCGTCACCTATCCATCCAGTCCATCATCCATCTGTTTATCCATCCATCATCCATCCATCCATCCAGCCATCCAATCTATTTATCCACTCATCATCCATCCATTCATCCATCTGTCCATTTGTTCATCTATCTATCCATCCATCCATTCATCCTTCTGTCCTTCCATCATCCATCTATTCATCGATCTGCCCATCCATCTATTCATCCAACCATCCATCCATCCAATACATTTATCCATTCATCATCCATCCATCCATTCATCTGTCCATCCATCCATCATAAATTCATCCATCCATCTCTCCATTCATCTGTCCATCCGTCTTTCATCCATGATCCATCCATCCATCCATCCAATCCATTTATCCATCCATCCATCATAAATCCATCCATTCATCCATCCATCCATCCATCCATCCATCTGTCCATTCATCCATCCAATCAATTTATCCACCCATTATCCATCCATCTATCCATCTATCCATCTGTTCATCCATCCATCCATCCATTCATCCATCTGTCCATCCATCTGTCCATTCATCCATCCAATCTATTTATCCACCCATTATCCATCCATCCATCCATCCATCCATCCATCCATCTATCCATCTATCCATCTATCCATCCATCCATCCATCCATTCATCCATCTGTCCGTCCATCTGTCTGTCCATCATCCATCTATTCATCAATCTGCCCATCCATCCATCTATTCATCCAACCATCCATCCATCCATCCAATACATTTATCCATTCATCATCCATCCATCCATTCATCTGTCCATCCATCATAAATCCATCCATCCATCTCTCCATTCATCCATCCATCCGTCTTTCATCCATCATCCATCCATCCATCCATCCATCCATCCATCCAATGCTCTTTTTTATATTTTCTTAGTTTTAAGGACCTGATCTGAGTGTTCCCTGCATTAACCTTCAGTTTTGGTTTGTCTGAAGAAGAACTGATGTGAATGTTTCTGCTGCAGCTACGAGTGGATCATTCCCATCAGATGGATGAAGACTGAAAACATTCAGGATGACATCACGTGGCTCCAGCAAAAATCAGGTAAACCAACCATCTGATGAAGTCTGAAAGAAAAAGACGGATCTAAAATGTTACTCTGATAAAACAGATTCATCAGAAAGTTCATTTATCAATTTATATAGGAAACACTTTTTATATAATTTTACATAAGCTAACTACAAATTTACAACCTAAAGAGATATCAGTGCATTTTTTTAAATTTTTTTAATTTTTTTATTTGGGTGGGGTGGGCTTAGGAGGGGGTTATTTTAAATAAAGTAAAATATGTTGAAAAGTATAAATGTTACAGAAACCAAAAGTCATAGCACATTATTTCTAACAGAATTGAACCTTTTGATTTATGAACAGTTAAAATAACACAAAATCCACTGAAGTAGTTTGGTTACTAAAACACGTCAGACCTACAAACAGGACAACAACAGATGGAACGCTGAGTCAGCATTCACAGATGAATAAAGCTCAGTCTCTTCTCTGACAGTCTAACCAGAGCTGAGTTTCCTCTGCAGATACGATCATGGAGATGAAGGTTTCGGGTTCCGACTGGGTTCTGGCCAACCTGAACGTGGTGGGGTACTACAGGGTCAACTACAACCAGGAGAACTGGGACAGACTGCTGAACGCTCTGAGCACCAACCACATAGTAAGGCCCAATACCCGAGAGTCACGGGGTTCACTAGGATCAGAATAACCTCAGCTGACGTCTTTGGTCTCCAGGTGATCCCGGTGATCAACAGAGCTCAGCTGGTGGACGATGCCTTCAACCTGGCCAGGTAAGTCTTCTGTCAGGAAGACATGAAGAAGAAACTCCGAGTAGAACCAGAAATACAGTATGTTCCAAAGATGGTCCAAGAGCTTCTGATACTTTCAGGACTTTCCAGCTATGATCATAACAGCTGTTGTTTTGTCTTCACCCTCCTCTTCCTCAGACCATTCAGACTGGTCCTACAGCTTTTAGCCATGATGCTAACATAAAATCGGGGCTCGAATCCCCCTGAAGCAGGTTCTTACAGTCTGATAGCTCAGCACACACCAACAGGCAGTTTGAACCTCAAACATTTACTCATCTGCAGTTCCTCCATCTGACCTGGTTCTGATCCATCTTTCTGTTCAGCAGAAAACAGTTGGATCGAATGCAGAACGTCTGATTAATCTTCGGGTTCTTGTGTTTTAAAGAGCAAAGATCATCTCGACAGTTCTGGCGCTCCAAACCACCAAGTACCTGAACAAGGAGAGGGAGTACATGCCGTGGCAGTCGGCGCTGAACAACCTGGACTTCTTTTACCTGATGTTCGACCGCAGTGAAGTGTACGGCCCCATGCAGGTGCACGTCCTTCTCCTCCTGTGTCCACCACAGTTCATCTGATGACCCTGATCTTCTCCTGAACTTCTGAACTTCTTCCGTCTGCAGGATTATCTGAGGAAGCAGGTTTCTGAACTGTTCGCCCACTACAAGGAGATCACGGAAAACTGGAGCAAAGTTCCAGACAAACACATGGACCAGTGAGTACAGACCCGAACCCAGAGACCAGTCCATGGCTGTTAGAACCGGTTCTATTCTGTGAAACCAAAAGTCCACATCTGGTTGAAGATTGTTTTAATTTTTACATGGGTTTTATGAGTTCTGGATACATTTTCAGAATCCCTGATGTGTTTGTGAACAACAAACAAGTTGAAGCAGCTGGTGGGGGTTAAGGGCCTTGCTCAAGGGCCCTGAGTGGGGCGAATGAGGGTGGGGGCAGGTGTGGGTGCTTCAACTACCCCACCCACATTTTTTTAATGTTGTCGGGACCGGGGCTTGATCCGGCGATCTTCCGATCACAGGCCCACCTTCTCTAACCTCTGCACCACCACTCCCCCTTTTATTTACTGTAAATAACAAAGTAAAAAAAAATGAATAAACATACAAAACAAAAAATCCTAAACAACTGGACTTCTGTTCTGCAGTTAAATATATTTCCGGCAAACTTTCTCAAAGCTTTTGAGAAAGTTTCCCAGATGGGAGGAAAAATGTCTTCAACTGCAGAGTATAAGTATAGTTGTTTTTTCATTTATCATACCCTGGATGAATGAGAATCTACACCTACATTTAATTTACTGTATTTATGGTGCGCCTCAGGGCTCTGTATGAGACCTTCTGCAGCCTTTCAGTTGGTAAATGTTTGATTGTATGCTGACGACACTTTGATTTAACTGCTAATTTTGCACTTTGTTTTTATTTAGGAGTCTCGGGTTTTATATGGTTGTATCAGCTGTGCAATCTGATGTTAAGATTTGTAATTTTTGTTTTATCAACTTTAAATTTCTAAACTACTATTGAAGGGTTTTGTGATCCAGACTGTGTCCAGAAGATCACGCGGCATCAAACAGTTGACAAATCTCTTGTGTGAGTTCACTCACTGTGGCAACCGTCGCTGTGGAGAGCAGCCAAAGAAAAACAAACAAACCATTGCAGTTTTTTTTTTAACTTCATAATTTAACAGCTGAGAGGTTTATTTGGACAGTCATGATACAGTTTTATGTGGTTCAGTCACTCTTGCAGTTTGAATCTCTCCCCCAAAGTAGCATCAATCAAACTTACAGTGCGTTTACCTTTACTGATGAAGCTGATTTTGACAAGTGTTTCATAAAGAAAGACTCAAAGATAACAGCTATCCAGGGTTTTATTAGCACCACAACGCAGATCTGGACAGGCTTCTGACAGCAAACTTGTCTCAGGATCACAGGGAGGCTCAGAAACCGTTTCCTGATGAGTTAATCACGACACCCAAACCCATTTTACGCAACAGGTGACCACAAAGAAAGAAAAAGTTTGGCATATGAACGTTTTCCTCACATTTATTGAGGACCGTACAAGAAACAGGTGACATCCTGATGCATGCTCAATAATCCAGGTAGAAAAATATAAAAAAGTTAAATCTGGTCCTCTGGACATTCAAAAAAAAAAATTGTAGAAACGTTTCGTCTTTCATCCAAAAAACTGGGGGTTAAGGACTGAGGAAGTCTTTTGGATGAAAGATGAAACGTTTCTACATTTTTTTTTTTTTTGATTGTCCAGAGGACCAGATTTAACTTTTTTAGAAGAAACAAGTGAGTTGGCTTCATCGTGGGTCGAACGTTCAAACTTTAATTTGGTTTTGAACATGATCTTTCATTTCCCCAAAAATGAGCTGCTTTAGGGAAAACACATTGTTTGTTTATGAGCAACAGCTTTAGTCAGTCTAATAAAAGTAGTAATGAGTCATCTTGAATAATTCTCCAATAATTCTGACTCCAGGGTCTCTGAACCACTGTAGGGTTAATCCAGCCATAACATTAATTGTTAATAAGATAAATTAGTGACATTTTCAGGCCCTCAACTCCCAGATGTGAGCGTGTACCCTCCGAGTTGGGTGAACAATAAACAAAGCTCGGGTTTCTGTTTGAGCAGTTGTTGCATCAACACTGTTTGTTTCTGGTCGGCTGTTAATCTTTGTGCCTCCTGCAGGTATAACCAGGTGAATGCCATCAGCCTGGCGTGCAGGACCGGCCTGGAAGAATGTCAGACTCTTGTCACCACGTGGTTCAAAGAGTGGATGCAGACCGGCAACAACCCGTGAGTGTGTACACGTATTTCTGCGCTCCTCCTGCAGAGCGCTTTGATTCAGGTTTGTAAAAGTCAGAGACTAAAGCTCCGTTGTGCCAATGTGGTGTATTTTCAGGATCCACGCCAACCTGCGCTCCACAGTGTACTGTAACGCCATCGCCGCAGGGGGAGCTGTGGAGTGGAACTTTGCCTGGTCCAAGTTTATAAATGCCTCCATCGCTACAGAGGCTGAGAAACTGCGTGCCGCTCTGGCCTGCACCAAACAGCCGTGGCTTCTGAACAGGTCCGGTTCATCAGCAGCTTTAACGCTCACCGACTGTAACCGACCGGCTCAAACACGTGATATTTCTACCTGCTCAGGTACCTGGAGTACACTCTGGATCCAAAAAAGATCCGGAAGCAGGATGCCACCTCCACCATCGTCTACATTGCCCAGAATGTGATCGGTCAGTCTCTGGCGTGGGACTTTGTCCGGGCTCGATGGTCGTACATCTTCAAGGAGTGAGTTGGACGCAAAATACTTTTCAGTCTCAACGTGAAGGTTTGAGGAGATGAAATAAAGTCCAGAGTTGGAAGCAAACACGAACATAAATACCATCTGTGAGAACTGAAGCACACGCATCATAAATCTAACCTCAGCCGAGCAGATAAGTTGTTTTTATTGTGATGTTTACTCTGAGCAACTGGTTTTATTGGTCGAGCTGCTCGCACTGTTCCTCTGGTGATCTTTAGTCCTCATAAACTCGTCTGCAGATAAATCTGCTGTTGGTTTGACTCTTTTAACACCTCTGTGAAATGTTTAGGCTCAGAGGTGCTGGTGACATTTAGGGATAATACATCTCAGCTGATCCCGAGTCCATCAGGATAATTTTACACACACCGAGCTCAGATTCAGTGTAGTTGTAGCTGAGAGTTCTCTGCATCACACATTCTGAGGGCTAACAGATCATAAAATCAGATCTTTGTTTAAAGGTGCTGGGCGATATGCATTCATTCATTCAACCTTTATTTATACAGGTTAGTCTCATTGAGCCTCGAGGACTCATTTACAAGGGAGACTTGTTTTAAACAAAGAACACAGATGAGGTACATTCTTTGAAGAAATGCGTAACTCTGGCAACATGCTTCAACCCTCAACAAACCTAAGCAGGAAAACGCTGACTGTGCGTGTTGTCTGAATACAGACATTAAATCTAATTAGGTACAATTCAGTTTATTTAAATAGCGCCAAGTCACAACAGATCTCAGGGCACTGAACAGAAACATTCATATCCATAAAAAGTAAGTTAATAACATTATATATCTGAGGAGCTCACTTTCATTTATTTGTTTTTCCTCTAATAAAATCTTCTATCAGGCATTAATTAACATTATGTCTTTCCTCCGTTTTGCCTCCTGCCAGCTGTTCACATCTTTTTTATTTTTTTACATCTTCTGTCTCAGGTCTTCTGTTTGTTTTTGTGTCAGGATTTGCAGTAAACGTCTGTCGTGTTCCTCCTGTAGGTACGGTGGAGGATCGTTCTCCTTCTCCAACCTCATCAACGGAGTCACCAAACGCTTCTCCACCGAGTTTGAGCTTCAGCAGGTTAGAAATGATTAACCTCTAAAATGTTTCAGCGTCGACAGCCGCACACTTCGGTTCAGCTGGTTGTTCAGTAACGAGATGGAGCTGTAGTTTCTGATGAGTTCAAGGCAACTTTTTGTTTATCTCTGGCTGAAGCTTAAAAAAAAATAAAATAAAGGAATGTGTTGCTGAATGACTGCTGAAATTTGCTAGTTCATTCGTTAGAGGCTAAAACAAGAAGAACAGAGGCTAAAATGAGTTGAGAAGAGGGTAAAATGAGCCAAAAAAAGGCTAAAATCAACTGAACATAGGGTTAAAGCTAAAATCAGAAAAACAGTAGCTAAAACCTAAAATACGAAGAAACAATAAAATCTATAAACTGCAAAACGATATAAAAATTAGAAAAACAGGTGCTAATATTAGCAAAGTCGTCATAGCTGAAGGTAAGACAACAGATGCTAAAGTAGCTAAAATTATGACAAAGTACTAACTAAAAATTAGCTAAACTGTAGCTTTAACTACAAGTAGCAGAATGGTAGCTAAAAGCGAAAAGTAGCACAAGACAAAAACAGAGCCAGCAGCTGATGCACATTTTAAAGAAAACAACGACTTTGAAGGAATTAAAAAGTTGTGTTAATGTTTTTTTTTTTAATATTAAAAAAGTATAGAAGTAACAAATAAAAAAAGAAGTCACAGCAGCCATCTCCTGAACGAGCCGAAAGTTTTGATGCAGGAATGAGTAAAATAGTACAAAATATGCAGAAGTAGTCTGCAGAAAATGTCCAGAAGAATAAATAAACAGGAAAATATTAGAGTGAATGCTGGCAGCAAAAAAAAAGAAAGAAAATTATCTAAAATTAAAAAAACTGATGTAATATGAGTAGTTTCTTTAATTCTTCTCAAACAAACCTTTGTTTTATTATAGAAGTATGGAGGGTGTGACTCCTGACCTCTATCCTTTATCTTTTGACCTCAATCCTCTGAAACTTGACCTCTAGCTTTTGACCTCTGACCCCTGACCTC